CCACGTGGATTATTAGATGACATGTCATCGTGTTTTTTTAGTTTAGGGATCAAATCGAGGATCCGTATAATAGTTTAAGGACCAAAAAAAAATTTTAACCTAAAAAAAAATATATAAAAAGAGTCATCACTTCCTCCCTCGAATCACTTGTCCTAATAAAAAAAAGATATAAAAAGAGTCACGTCATTAGGTATAATGTTTAATATCCAAATATTAATAATTGAGTTTAATTGGTTGAAATTTTGATTTTTATCAACGAATTTAAAAATAAAATCTTTCATTCCCCAAATTTCTCTCGTGTTCAAAAAAATAAATAAATAAAAAGATATAAAAATGTTTTACTATTTAAAAAATTAATGTATCTAAACTTAAAACTTCATTAATAATACCTTGATTGATGTTGGTTTATATAGTCCTAAAAACATATATTTAGGATTAAGATTCTAATTATTTTAAATTTGTTTGGTTTGATTTAGTTGTTAAAAAAATATTATTTAACAGTTTAAAATTAATTTTGTTAATATTTTTAAATATTTTAACTAATTATTTAACAAAAAAAAAACTTATATAGCTAATAAAATCAGACAAAACAAATATACCGTTAATTACTACTCCACTTAGTTGAAGTTTTCATAATAAATTATTAATGGTTCACCAATAAGTAAATTCACAATAAAGTACGAAAATGCACTATAAATTAATACCTTTGAAAAGAGTACAAGTTTGGGTGAATATTGGATCAATCCAAAGTCCAAACAGTAGCAGGTAAACTGCTGCCTTGGGATTTATTGGCTTGTTTTTTCCTTTACCTAAAAAGGGAAAGAAACTCCACCTGATCTACTGCTATTTAATAATCTCTTACTTTACTTTATTAATAATTTTTTAACAATAAAGATTTTTGTTGTCCAAGTCTATGCTTTGAATTTTTAAACCGATAGTTAAAAAGTTAATTTTTTTAAATATACTATATCTATGATGTTAAGCACCTTAGGATTACATCTAATAAAAAAGGAAAAATTACTAATATTTGTATATTTATTATCATTTTAGCTAAATATATAAAAAATGATATAGAGTGACTGTTTAGTATAATAATTAAAGTTAATATAAAGAAATTTTGTTTAATTTAATTAATAATAATAATTATTAATAATTTAAATATTTTTATCTATTAAATTAGATAAAAATCATAAACTATTAATTTTAAATCATTGTACCAACCAACTCCTAAAAATATATTAAAAATATACATTTACCAAATCCTTCTATTTCAATCGATCTCTTTATACTAATTACCAAAAATGATACACTTAAAATGCCATAAATGACATTAATTTTTTTAATTGATCATAATTAAATCTTTTTTGATGAACCATAATTTTAATTTTTTTAATACAATAATTTAGGTTTTATGAAATTCATGTGATTTGGGAACTGAATTAAGACTTAAGAAAGTATATATATTTATATATATAATAGAAAATTATGTATTAATTTTTTTTTATTTTACTCCATCTACACATATCACGTAGTCTATTAGTTTTTGTCATAAAAGATTAAGTAAAATATGTTTTAAAATTATTTTATTTTAATAAAATTTTATTTTAAAAAATTAAAATATTTTTTTCTCTAATTTTCTTTTAATTTTTTTAATACGACTGATAAACATTAAATTAAAAGGTGAAAATTTCAGTTGTCTGAGTCTGACTTGCTCGGCCGTCTCTCACAACTTTCCTTTCAGTTTCAGATTCCTTCCGTTTCCCTCCTCTTCTTCAGTTCTCCGTCCGTCCTTGTGTTATCTTCTGTTCATTATTGCTAACCAACGCCGTACAATTGCAGCAAGACGGCGCCCGCCACGGCGGCGATGGTGCTAGATCTGGGTACGTTGCCTGCGCTTTCTTTCCTCTCTTTCTTTTAGCTTTTCTTCTTTGATTACTTTTGTATTTCATTTTCTTCGCATCTATTAGAGTTAGAATTGAAGTTTCTGCTCCTCAGCTCTCCCTTTTCCCTTGCATCAATTATGGGTTTCCAGCTTCTTCACTTTCTTTTTTTTCTTTTTCCGCGCAGAACCATAACCCTAATTACATGTCGCAGTTTTTCTTTTCACGATTTTACTTCAAATTTAGCATTTTTAGCTGTTGGAATTTCCGAATAACTTGCAGTCCCATAATCCTGTTCCAAGGGGCTTCTTTAATCCCTTTTTCTTGGTAATTAGCTATAGTCTCTAATTGATGAAACTTTGTTTTGATTCTTGATTTCATTCACGGGTCAAAGTAGATTGCATCATTTCTATATTGGCTAGCTCACTCATTAGCAGGATCAATATTGCTTGGAGTTAATAATCTTTTACTTTTGGCTGCTAGCTATGGAAGCTTGTTTTATTTTTTCTGGTCTAGGTGTTTTATGATGGCTGCACTCTAGGTCTAGGGTTTGTGAAAAGTTTGGCTATCATCTTTGTCTATTCATGCCTCATAGGTATTTATTCTGTTGATTTTAAATTTTTAATTACCAATTGTGAAATGTCAATTTGTCCTCCATTTGTGCCCAAAAGATCTAGACTAGTAAGTTTTAAGTATCTATATTGTGATTTGGTTCGATTGAATTTGATTTTTTATGGTTTCAGCATTAAAATAAGGTAAAATAGGCTGATGGTATAGCATAGTAGGAATGTCTATCTTCTTGTAATAAGTTAGGGTAAGGTCGGAATTATTATTACCAAACATGACTGAAGTTATGTCCTATATTCCCAAGATATCTAATAGTTTTTGACAGCTCTCTTTCCCCACCTTGCCTTTCCTTTACTTCTTGGTTGGTCAAACAATATATATTATTGTGTGCTACTATTTTCAGTAATATGTTTTAATTTGAATATGTTTTTTTTATGTGCTTTTATTCTTTTTCAGAAGATAAAATTATTCATTTTATGGTTTTTTACTTTAATTTCTAATCTTTGTGCATTACTTTCCTAATTATTTAACTTCATGATGATCGATGCCTTGAAAACAAGATTTAGTACTAGTTTCAGGGTTTTATGCATTATTTAGCTGTAAATTTCATATAAAAGCCATCATCTTTTGCTATCCGTCCATGTAATTCAATGTGTAGTCATTCACTTATTCGTGCTTCATCTGTATTTATGACATTAAATTCATGCTAATTATGAAAGCTTTTTTAATACAATTGTGAAATGTCCGTTTGTCCCACACTTATTCAGAAAAGATCTATGCCATTAAGTTTTAGCTTTTTACGTCATGCTTGGTTAAGTGGAATTGGTATTTTCATGGTTTTGGCATGAAAATAAGGAAAATATATGGAGAATATGGCAAAGTAGTGATGGCTATTTCATGCTTGTACCCATTTTCTTCTAAAAAATTTCATGCTTGGTTTTAGATTTTTTTTTCTCTTGAATCCCTAGGTTTTAGTTATCCTATAGTCCTGAGCTATTTAAAAGTTTCAACAGCTCTCTCTTCCCCCACCTTTCCTTTTCCTTATCCTTTTCCTTTTCTTCTTGATTGGCAAAACATTATATATTATGATGTACTTTTGTTTTTCACATATATATTAATTTGAGTATTTAGTAGTTTATATCTTTGCAATTCTCTTATTATTATTATTTTTTATCTCTCTTTTTCATAGATGAATAACAAATGTATCAACCAAAGGGTGTTCCAAGTTCGAGTTTAGTCCGTAATAACTCTTCAGTTCATGTTCAGCATTTAGACTGTAGTGCCACTGCCAATCCAATGGATCACATTAGTGGAGGGAACAACCTCAGCAACAACCCGAATCTTGCATCAAAGCAACGCTTGCGTTGGACACATGAGCTTCATGAACGCTTTGTTGATGCTGTGGCACAACTAGGTGGACCAGATCGTAAGTTGTCTCTATCCTATAGCCAACTTTTGTTTCTCGCTCTCTCTCTCTCTCTCTTTTCTCTTTTTGTTTCCTTCTTTTTTTTTTTTTTTCCCAATTTTTTTAGAGGTTATCATGGCATTTGCCTTGAATAGTTAAGGTGCTTTTCTTTTTTCCTTTCCTGATATAGTGCTGGAAGAAAGCATTAGATTACCAGCTGTGGTTGTAATTAATTTTTCTTCCTCAAGAAGGGGAACAATGAAAACAACTGAGCATTTAATGGGTTAAGGCATCTAGTGGTTTGATTTATCTTTTTTGCTGGGTCTAGTATTTATGTAGGTCATTGTTTTTTAAGTATTTAAGTGGGAAGATGAGGGTGAACTCAACTTTCTTTTGGGGTGGAAATTCGAAATTTTGCATTTGAGGAATTGGTCAAGTTTTATGTATGAAATATATTTGTAACTTTGATGATATTGAACAAGAATTTTTTTCCTTTCCAGGGGCTACACCCAAAGGTGTCCTTAGAGTCATGGGGGTACAAGGTTTGACAATATATCATGTCAAGAGTCACTTGCAGGTATGAGTCTGCTCCTA